TATAAAGTAGAATTATAAAATATCATAAGAAAGATATTATCTTTTCAAAGCGTATTTTTAGGCGTAAAACATAACAGCAACATTGATTTCTATATAATTTTAATTTTCCACTTACTGTAAATACAACACTTTTTTTACACAAATTTTCTATGGTGGTTAGTATAAGTACATGAATGTAAACTACTAGGAAAAATTACTTTACTGACAAAATAAATATAGTCAGTGTAAGATTCTTTATAGATTAGTATTCAGTAAAAAAATATGAAAATGTTACTACAAATTGATAAAAATTTTGATATTGTCTATAATTACCTTCAAATTAAAAAAATGTTTGGAAAATTCATAAACCCTTTCTAAAATGAATAACAGAAATTTTGAATGAATCTATACTTAATTTTTTCAGTTACACAATGAAAAAGCTATATACAATTTATAATTGTTCTTATTAATTTCTACTGTTCTGTACAAAATTACATCACGTATTTCTTGACCAAATATAAAACAATGTGGTCTTTTTATAATAATAGTTTTCTAGCTGTTTATAAAAATATGATTTATTATTTCTTTTTTTGACGAAATTTTTCAAACAAGAAATATTTAATTACAATGTAATAGTAAAATTGTATTAAATTTAATTGTTATATAATAATATACTACACTGACATTTTGAAAAAGTATATTCTCTCATCATGCAAAAAATACAAATATATGTATAAAAGTTTTTAATGTGCCAATCCTTTTATGGCGATGATATGCAAAAACAATAAATATTAGATATCGTAGATTATAATATTTATTTTTTCCTTATTTTTATACAGACTATTAAAAAGTATACAATTAATCCAATATAGGTAATGGATTGTCTGTCACAACAAGACATTTCTCCCACAGGTCTTTAACTATTTGTATCTGTTAAATAAATATAATTATATTACATTTTATTGTAATAATTCTTAACACACTAATTAAACTTACTTTATTATCTTCACCAACAATTGGTAACTCTTCAACAGATATAAATGCAGGGTATCGCAAAATTAGTTCTTTAACTGCAGGTACAAAATGTTCGCTAACTTCCAAATATTGCGGTTCATATTCATGATATTCTTTAGAATTTTCACTTGAATAATATATTCTAAATGTGTCATTCTCTTCAATTAATCTACAAGAAATGAATAAAATGCATTAAAGGAACACAAATGTATACAAATCTATACAACACAAGATTCAAAATTTAATTTCGCCTTCATTAAGTATTTGTTTTAAATAAAGCGATACTTCTGAGACTTGTGAAAACCTACCGTATACAATGAGAACGCAACAATCGTATTCTAGTGTCAGGTTCTATCTCTACCCGATTTATAACAATTCCATTTGCAGTCATCTGTTCACCATCCTGAACAATAGAACATTCTTGTTCATTTTCTAATAGAACAGGAGGTAAGAAATCATGAACATTCTTTTTTGCCATTAAATCTGCAGCTTTGTCGATATCAATATAATCTATTAATTTTTTAAGTAAATGTTTAACTTTTTCTTTAAGCTCTCCCTTGTTATTACTCTGATTTTCAGAATGGACAAAACCGCTGTATCTTAAGTAATCAAGAGGTAATCCTTTACGAAATTCACTATCAGTTTCCATAGCAGTATTTAATGCATCTGGAAGTAACTTCTCCAAAAAGTCACCCCAACTGTTTTTTTGGTAAACACTTAAAGTGATATGGAGACTATGGGAATCCATAGTCTCACCTTGATGTATAGTTCCACGTGGAAAGTATAACAAATCTCCTGCATTTACAACCGTATCTAATATAGGTTCGCCAATTTCGGACTGTGTAAAATTTTGTGAGGAATATCTTGCCAAGTATTCATTTTCATTTCGTGGTTTGTACAATCTCCACCTTTTTTTACCCTCTACTTGTAATATAAAAGCTTCGATATCATCATAATGAGGTGCGAAACCTTGACTATTGGGAGGTGTCAAGTAAGAATTTGCACCCACAAAACAACCAAAAAATTCCTGAAGGGTAGCTAAAAGAAGAAAATAAATTTTCTAGTTTTGTAAGCCAGAAATTTACATATTTCATTACATGATAGACTCTATTTGAATTATTATTCTATACTAATAAATAAAAATTGTTTGGTAAGTAGTATTTTATAGCAAGTTATAACATGTAAAAATTGTTCATTGATTTCTTGCCTTCAAATTAATAAGTTATAATAAAATAATAAAATCAATAGCACTTGTAAAGACTGGTAAAGCTATAAACAATATATATTTCCAAACAATCAGTCAATTTGTAAATAGAACCACCCTGTAGAGTAATTCATTTTCTTAAATGAATTGACAGAAATTAAAATAATTGAAACTACTCCATGTCCAGATGCAAATATTTAAGAACTCAAGAATGTTTGTAACTTAAAAATGTACTTTTAAACATACCATTTAAGGAATGCAATTTTGGTATGTATGTTTGTGGATTTAACATTCTAACAGAACAGCCATTCATATAATAATCCCAAACAACACTTGGAATTGCACGACCAATAGGATTATGTGTTTCTCTTACTCCATTTTCATATGAAGTAATATCAAGATTCTTATTGAACAGAATATGGGACTCCCTTAATATTTTATCCAACAATGGAGTTGACATGAGTAACTTATAATAATTGCTGCAATTTCTCTTTATATGAACAGGTGTTTGCTCCCAATTTTTCCTGAAAAATATTATATATTTAATATTGAAGTACACAAATGCATATAATCTAATGAAATAAGTTCTACGTACGCAAAAAAATCTTCTACTTTCATTGGATGTATTAGCCATTCATACATCGAACGACTTACATTAGTAGGATTGTCTTGATGTTCTTCTATTGTTTTTACTTCATTATGAGTAGGGAATTGATTAATTCTTTCTGTTGTTTTCCTATTTTTAAGTTGTTTTGGATGCTTTTTATTAATATGTTTAATTTTTGCAATATCTCTTTTTAATGCTAGAAAGGAACTTGTTAACTATGCCATTGGTTTTAATTCTTCCAAATAGTCAATTATCATTACATACTTACCTTTTGTTTTATAAATTGGATTGTTATTCGATTTATTTTTCTTACGAGTGGAAGAAGGACCAATTATCTTAGTCATATTGTTCTCATTAATAACTTTACCTTCATTTATAGATACTGTATCTATTTCATGTTCATTTTTATTCACAGGTATTTTTATCAATTTCTGCAGTGTTTCACCTGTGATTTTTTTTTCTACAATTACCTTCTTCCGTGATAAATTATGCTTTTTCTTCAGTTTTTTTGATTTTGGTAACAATTCTAAACTTTTACGTTTCATAGCCTGCACAGCAAATGCTGATATTGGTTCACGATGTTTAAGCATCTGTAAAAATAATAAAATGAAGTGATATACTCAAACAATAGCAATCACATCATAAATCATAAACTGTAAATTAAAAAGTATGGTAAATTGTATTATGATACAAATTCTCAAATTACAATACACGTGTAGATGTAATATTGGAATTGTAAATAATTTATAGAATTACATATATTCAAGATACAAAAAAGCTGTATGTTATAAAGAATAAAATCATTTATAACAAAATAAATCAATTTCAAAATGCGTTATTAAACCGGCACATTTTGAGGTTAAATTTGAATTATTTTTCCAACATAGTAACAAAGGAATATTTTTTAAAATTACCATGAAAAATATGTAACTGTGTAAATTTTTTAGTTATTTACGAGTTAAATTTTACAGTCAACAAGTAGTATTATCATTAAAACTCTTTTATCTTAAATTTATTGATCACATGCGCCTCTCATCGAACATTGTTTGGACATTGTAAACATTACCTTGTCACCTTATCCAACGCAATATTCAATTTGTACATAATACCATAGACTTAGGATACATATAGACCTTCCACATTAAGAGAATTTATGTCCCGACGTCTGAATGCTAACGCAAACGAAGTATATCTCATCTGTGTCTGTGGTAGGCGTACCTACGTAGAAGGCACAGCAAAATCTCAGATTTTTTTTACATAATCGGTAATTCAGAACATGCGACACTAACATAAGTCCCGTAAACTGTAATGCTATTTGTAATCCAGGGCTGTATAACTCTCCATACCTACTTTTATCTGTTATGTATATGTATGGTGCACTACATAAAACTGCTCATGTACCTACACAGTCTCAGGCAGTTCCTAGAGTAGAAATAATGGGAAAACACCATTTGCGAGTTACTAGCGTGAGGGGAGCCAAACAGCTGAAGATCTATGCAGACGAGCGACGCGATCCTGCTGCGGTACCGAAGCGGTGACGATATGCAATTTTGGAAAAACAAAGATGTAATGTTCTCTTGCCCTTTTCCCGTGAGACAGAAGAACTTAGTTTCTCTGTTATGTCAAAACAATCGCTGCGGCGCCACTACGATTGACGCTGGCGATTTTACATACACGTACCAATGTACAGAAAAAATTTCATCCTACACAACATACACAGTTAAAAAAAAGAAATATAAATATTTCCCATCCTTGTCGCGATTCTTTACTGTTTTGTCAATCGCGCGGTGTCGCTGGCGATACCCGCAGCGTCAAGGTAGCGGTGTCGCTTTGGCTTTTGAACAACACACAATCTCATTTATCGTGTTGTGGTGTTGCAACGGTGAAACGTGCTCTTCCTAAAGTAAGTACTGGTTACAAATTAATGTTTCATTTACTACGTAAGATATTTCTATAAAAATTAAATAATATTTCGTGGCATTATAGTGACGTAAAAATTGTACATAATTATGTACATCAGTTTTAATTTTGTGTTTTTAGTCTGCCGTATTCTCATTTTGTATTTACCGGTGGGATTTTACTATCTACACAGTAAGAAGTTACTTGGTGAGTATGAATTTATATTAATGAATTATTTTATTTGCATTTAGACAGATCAGTATTACTGCATTAGGCCATAATTCCATTATAAAAGCACGAAACAAAAAATTTCATAAGAAGTATAATATCTAAACAAGAATTGTTTCATTTCCTAAAAAAAGTGAACATGAAATAATTCTTCATAAAACCCACTCAAAAATTCTTATATGGGAAAGAATTTCATGACATCGTTTTTATACTGGATGTATTTTTGAATCGAATTTGTTTTACTTAACAAAATTTTAACTTTTAATATCTGTAAAATATTTAGTTTGGGATGTTCTCCACTGATTTCGATGATTTTTGGATGTATTGTTGGGAACATAAGTCTAAGCAACTTCTTCCTATATATATATTTTTTTTTAAATAATTTGATGTTTAATATAATAATTTAATGTAATATAATATAAAGGAAAAACATCATTGTAATCGGTTTTTTAAATAGTACATGTAATGATATTCTGAATTTAAATAGGGTATTAAATTTGACGTAAAAGAACGATCATGAAAAGCTTTCTTATAACTATTATGAAAATTTAAAAATAATTAAACATTATATATACATATAAGAAGTGACCGGGGACCCGGGGACCAGGTCTATAAAGCGCGTAGTCACGGCCCTTAATAGCTATGGCCCGCGAGCGATGGCCGTGTGGCGTTAGTTTGGTGCACGCGCTCTTCGCGGACATTTTCTTAAGCTGTCCGAAAGAGAAACCATTCTCACACTTCCCGCGGGGGGGTTCCTCTTCAGAAATGTCTGCAGAATCTAATGGTGCATTGCAAATTCGTCCTAGCCAACCCACTTTTCGTAGAAATCTAACAGAAATGCACATAAAGTACGCGCATCTACCCCTTTTTAAACTTTTATCATCATTTACAAACATTTAATGATATGCAAAATTTAAAATTTTTACAGCTACGTATTCGAATAACTCTCCTCTATTTTCTGCGACAAATTTTAACTGCCTATCGTTTTTAGTTTTCACGTAACACTTGGTTCTCTGAAAAATTCGACCGTTTTTACAAAAACCCATTTTTTTTCGAAAACTGGACGTGACCCAGCAATTTGGTTTTCGAATTCGTATTTGGGATAAGGAACTTTATAAGTATCACCTAGTGATTATTGCAAGAGACAAAAAAAGTTCAAATTTAATTTTGTAATGTAATTTGACTTTCGCTGTAGGTCAAAAGAAATATTTGGTCCGCATTTCTGGTTTTCTTTTTTCTAGATTCACTTACTAAATTCAGTGTTTAACTCCGCGATGCGTACGCTTCGAACTTTCTCAGTGATTATTAGTAAAAAAACCTTACCGTCACTCTTGACAGCTGATAGAATGGCTTTCATAAGTAAAAAATAGAAAAATTTGTGAAATAAGTGACCAGTTTTATTACTTCAGGAACTGGTGTCCGGGTGTAATTGCCCGTAAGTGCGAATCGTGCTGACATTTTGCATATATCATTTCTCATCGGGTGTCATAAATATAGTAATTACGACAAAGAAAATTGAAAATTAAAAAATATGGACCACCGTGATCGAATAACGAGAGTATAAGGTAAAAGAAATTGTTTACTGTTAAGGAATTTTATTAACATAAAAATTGTTGCAAATGATGCCCATGATTTCTCAAACATAACTGTACACTTCTGACTGAATTTCTACGTATATTTTCTAAAGTGTCGTTTGCAATTACCATTTTTCAAACGCTACAATAATTCTTTTTCTCAACTGTTGAATAATCGTTATTTTGTCAGTGTACACGATAGACTTGTTGGGTTTTTAATAAATAATAATACCTTCATTAAATATGCAAAATAACACAAACTGCAAGACACCATAAACAAGCAAGATAAGACATGAATATAATACAATAACAAAATCGTTACCCGGACAATAAACAAAATACAATATATTAAATAAATTTGTATTGAAGGAGCGTGTTTGCTTTTGGAGTTTTGTCCAAAATGAATGTCCAAATCAGGTTTGACACCGCAGAGTTTATTTGTAACTATACCGAATATATTAGCACAGTACCGTGAGTGATTTGAAGATCGCAAACTACGTGACTTGGAGACCGCGCGTAAAATATAAGAACTTAAAAACATCGCGCGCTTCTTTATAAAAGGATATCTCCTCTTCGGAAGGAATTTCAACGGCTGTTCCCGATTGGTTGAAGTCACAGGAAATGATTTCCATCAATCGGGGAATTTTACACACAGCTGACCACTTTCTACGTCCTTAACTCGTTGTGAAAGTGAGGGTGGTTGTTACTTAAAAATATTTCTTAGAGATACAGCGGGCTGTCTTCCGAGCCACAGCGTAAGTGCGGCCTTTTAGCACGCGAGACCGCGCTCAACTTTCCCGGCCTGACGAAAGTTAGAGCACACATCACTGAAATACTCGGGGTTGTAAGCTTTGCGAAGATCTAAGATTTATGGCGTTTACTTGTGCCATTGAGATTATCATGAGAAAACTACGTGGACTCATTTGATCGCCAAGTGACTAAAAATATTAAGGACATTTTCTAAAAAATAGCGTTTTACGTTGTGCATTTTATAGATTTTGCTGAACTTTTGTGCGCCGAAAGTTTCTCTTCCGGCGCATAGCTAGTCGCTGCAGTATATACTTTTCTAACACATCTCTTATTGACGTATCGAGTCTTATAATTAACTTAAATATAACAATTTTACGTACGATTCATGTTTTACCCGCGTTAACGATTTCGTTCAAATATCTGCGTGCATTTCGATGATGATAAACGCTATTTTCACATAACTCAATCGCGCTCTGATTATCACAATAAATTTCACTTTTAACTCGTAGTAAACTTTCTATCTTTTCAGATGCTTTAACCCTTTCGCGACGGCGCACCTGTACCATTCTTCGCTACTTTTCGCAACAGTGCGACTGACCATACTTTGCTACTTTTCGCGACGGCGCGGCTGACCATACTTTATCACTTTTCGCGACGGCGCGGCTGACCATACTTTGTCGTCGTTCGCGAAAGCGCAAGTGAACCATACTTCATATAATTATGATTTTAATAGTATTTATTCCATATTATTTTTTAATAATCTTTTATAGTATGAAAAATTTTAAAACAGGGACAAATACACAATCCAACATTGCATTTTTTGCACTCATAACGTGATTCACGTCTCCTATTGTTTTTACTGCAAACAGCGCATCTCCGTACTTTATTTTTCCCTTCGGATGTATACGAAGTAGGAAAGTGTCTTTCTATGAGTCTTGTAGGATTATCGTCAGTAGAGTTAAAACTTGTATTAAAAGAATGTCGCTGTGTTGATTTTTGATATTTTGCAATTAATTGCTCAAATAATTTTAAATGAATTAATCAATTCATTCATTAATTAATTTTAAATAAGCCGTTGTAAAGTAATAAATGACTGCCATACACGGCACCCGTCGCGAAAGGGTTAATAAATTTCTAATAAAAACTATTTCTTTTGTAATTTCCGCAAGTGACATGTATTTCGCTTTCATCGTAGACACCGCAACGGTTTTCTGTTTGTTGCTTGTCCAGCTGATTTGACCTCCCGCTAAATTCACACAGAAACCCGTGCATGATCTTCTATCAGAACTATCTGCTGCCCAATCCGAATCTACAAATCTTACAAATCTATCTTCTTCCTTTTCTATTTGAAAGTAAAACCTACAGTTGCTTTTAAATATTTTTTCTTTTGCAGCAGACTTTTGTTACAAATGCAACATTAGATTTGTTGCACTTGCCAAATACATCAAACATCCTACAAATTCTCTATGAGGTTCATTTAACTTTTCTGCTTTACTATTTTTTATAGAATAGTCAAAGTATTACAGTTTTCCTTATTAAACCGCTTCAAAATATGTAAAGTATTGTTAGGGGCGGAAAAAAAGGATGTGGGGTAGTGGTCGGGATAATAGAACAGAACTAAATGATAACAAAATGCATCACGGTGTATTTCAGGAAAAGGCGGAATATCGCTGCCGTCGATGCGTCACTCTCCGCGTCGAAATTGCCACTCACTCTTCTGCTCGGATTCGTTCACACGTTCACAGAAATTCGCCAACGATAAAACAAAAGACGTGCTAACGTTACAATGTCTCGCATTAGCACCAATCGATCTGCCATATCTGGACACACAGCTCTCCCTCTCCCTCCCTCGCAATTTTTCTAAAATTTATACCTGTTAAATAACCATCTAACCTGTGATATCTCTTGTTGCTTGTTTTAAACCATACAAAGGTTTATTCAACTTGTACGCCTTATTTTCTTCTTCTGTTTTAGTAAACATTTCTGGCTGCTTGTGATCATATCATATGCTGTAATCGTATTTTTAATCACACTGACTGCCAAGAGGATTTTTAAAGATATTAATTTGGCCACTGGCGCAATTTTGCCCTGGGGTCCTTAGCTAGGGTCTAACCAACCCTTGGTGTGGACGAGACACCTTGATGTGGCAGGCACAGCTTATTCATGTATGTAAGAAGCCGGACAGGTTCTACCAATAGACCTGCGATTGGATTGGTACTACGGGCGCTCCGGTTGCTCACGAGGGCGTACGAAGGGTACCGAGTCCCCTTGTCCCCTTACAGAGAGCGTACCATGGGCGCTTGACCCCGGGCCCTCTCGGCCGGTGCAATTGGTGTTGGATTCGTAATGGTAGTGGTTGAAGCCTACATGCTGGGCAGAGACCTTTCAAGGGTCTCGGCGCGTGAGCAGCGTCCCACCTGCTCCTGGACCAGACTTCCATGGGACTCGTCATCCCCGGGAAGCAACGCTGGTAAGGCTACGGCCTCAGCTGATTGAGCTTAATCTCAATCCCACGCCCATGGGGGCCCTCCTTGGTAAGCCTTCGTGGCAGGAACTTGGAGGATAATCGGACTTCCCTCTGGCGCAAATACTTCATTAAAATGTCTAGCTTCACGCTGTTAATCGCCTCTTGCGAATAACCTAGCCTTAAATTTATCAATAGAACCATCTTGGTGCATTTTAATTTTATAAAACCATTTACATTTTAAAAGTTTTTCACCTTTAGACCTGTCCACTAAAGCCCACATTTTATTTTCCATTAAAGCATCATACTCAGTCTTCATCGCCTCTAGTAATTTGTTCTGTTTAAACTAGTCATTGCTTCGTGTACAGTAGTTGGTTGCGTGTGATTCAACTCATTAATCAACTCAAGTCGAGTTGATTGCACCTTTTTTTCATTCGACTCCTCCTGAACCAATTTCTTTTACTGGTAAATTTTCTTTGATTTTCCCCGATTGTCAGTTCTTTCGAATTTAAGACGCCCTGGCCCTTTACTCGTACATGAAGTTTCATCTGCAATAGCAGGCTCCACATTTGTTTTCATATCAGTAACAGTTTCTTAATTCGACGAAGAAGATACTGGCACTTCTTCTACAATTTTTGATAATACTGT